CCAGCCTCCGCCGGCCCCGGCCCCGAAGCAGCCGGCCAGACGCCGGTCCCTCGCCATCCCCACGAGGGAGGGTGAGAGCCGCCTGGACTGAGGGTGAGAGCTCCCGGGCGCAGTCTCTTTTAACGCTCACAACAGCCCTAGGAGGGGCTGTTAGTGTTTACTGCTGTCGTTATTATTGATTAATCATCCTAATAAGTACTTGCCATTTACAGCCAAGGGCTATCTCAAAGTCATTATGAACATAATCAGCAGCGTGTATGCCTTGCTCTTGAACGACACTAAATGGGACTTACACGTCACTTACGCCTGAATTTCACTAAGGAAGGTCACATCACCTCATTTTTATTTTTTTTTTTTAGTTTTTTTTCTTTTTTTTTTCTTTCTTTTTTTTATATATATTTTTTTATTGATTTTTTTTTTTTTTACAGAGAGAAAGGGCGAGAGAGAGAGCTAGAAACGTCAATGAGAGAGAAACATTGACCAGCTGCCTCTTGCACACTCCCTACCGGGGATGTGCCCGCAACCAATGTACATGCCCCTGACCGGAATCGAACCTGGGACCTTTCAGTCCGCAGACCGACATCACCTCATTTTTATCTCACCAGGGACCCTGGGAGTCCTGACAGGGCAGAGGGGGTTAGGGCCCATTCTCCTGTCACCTTCCCAGCCCCCCATCAAACTCCACAGCAGGAGGGCTCAGCATCAGCCCCTCCACCATCTCAGCCACCTCGGGCCTCGGGATGACCCCAGCCCCGCCCTGTGCCCTGCGCCCTGCGCCCTGGGGGACCCGGCCTGTGCCCTGTGCCCTGCGCCCTGCGCCCTGGGGGCCCCGCCTGTGGCCTGGGCTCCGGTGCAGACCCGACACTGACCTTGGGCCGCTTCCAGCGGACGCCGGGCCCCGGGCTGCCCTTGTAGTACAGCGAGTCGTCGGTGGCGGGGAAGTTGGGGTCTTCGAAGAGCACCTTCCGGCGCCGGCAGGCCCGCTTCAGCGCCGCGTAGTTCTGCTCCTCGTAGGGCTTCACGCAGGAGAACATGGTGGCCGCCGCTGGGGAGGGCGGGCCGAGGCGAGGCGGCAGAGGGCGGCCCCGGGGCACCTGGGAGGACAGAGGGGAGGAGGTCATTCGTGTCCGAGGACGGGAGGCCCAGCGCCAGGTGACCCCGTCTGCCCCTGAAAGGACAGAGCAAGGCTGTGAGCAGCACTTCCCTGTGTGCTGAAGAGCCAGCCCGAGGTGCACTGAGTGGTATCTCGATGCTGGCCTCGAAAGCAACACAGGTCTATTCCATCGAAAAATGCACCTGGCATGGCATTGAGAGTATGGGCATATCTAGTCTCTGGCCTACAAGGTCACATAGCTGGTTTATCTTCAAACAGGCTGAAGCAGGCTAGAAAGCAAACGTTTTTTAAACAGCAGTTTTTTACAAAATAGTTTTCAATTGCCTAGTCCACCCGTAGGAATGCAGAAGGCCAAATAAGCTAACCGCATCCAGCCACCTGTGTACCTGGGCCCTGGCCCTCACCCCACCACCCAACCCCAAGCCCTATAAAGAAGCTGAACTCTTAGGATTCGGGGCTCTCTGCATCCTGCCGAGGTGTTGGTAGAGGCGGCGAGATCGGGCTTGAGCTTGAATAAAAGCTCTTTGCTTTTGCATCAGACTCGGCTCCCTGGTGGTCCTTGGGGATCTTGAAATCTGGGCAGAACACCCCTCCCTGCAGCCCTGTGAAATGGGCATCCTCACTCCCACTGGCCAGGAATGAAGGCTCAGAGAGGGAGAGAGACCTGCCCAGGGTCACACAGCAAGTACACACAGAGCAGGAAGAGGAGCCGACCGGCCTGACCCCATAGCCTGAATTCTCTCATGTCTGATGCTTAGAGGTGAGACCAGGCCAGCAGGCCAACAGGCCAAGGACACAACCACGTGGTGCTCGGGCTGCTGGCGGCACCCACCCCCTCTTCCTCTGTCTCACCAGCCTTCCCTAGACCTCCCTGGCTGGTGCACCCCCCAGAAAACAGCAGCACCGTCCCCAGTCCCTCCTCCTGCCCCGCCCCTTCCCCTAGAGTGGCACAAGCTGCCGGAGGGGAAAACCGTGGCGCAGGCCCCTCCAGCCTCATTCACATTCACCCCCCTGCCCCTCCCTCCGGCACTTCCGGGATAAATGTCTTCAGTTCTCATTGCTCCTTCATCCCAGGACCTAATCCCCCTGAGGGCCCCCCTAATTCCCCATCACGTGGCCTCCCAGTCCCCACAGTCTGACGCTCCCCGACAGCCTCTCAGACCACAGAGTCTGCCACTCCTCAGCAGCCCCTCCTCCTGGGCTTCGGGGTCCCTCCCCTGTCTCTGACCTTTCCTTCCCTCAGAGGGGCCCCCGTGGCCTGCCTGCTCACTCCTGCCTCCGGGCTAGTGACGCCTGTGCGCCGTCTGGACACCTTTTCTAGGCCCCTGGCTGGCCCACTCCCTGTGAGAGCCAAGGGCCCCTGACCGGCACCAATCCCAAACCCAACTCCTCATCTCACCCCCCACCCCCAGACTCCCAGCAGGGAATGGACCACAGGCACCCAGAGACCGGAAGCCCCAGCAGGCGGGTGCGCTGGGTCTGGGCCCCCCGCACGCTCAGCCGCTGGCACCGAGCCTGGCACAGGAGGGGACTGCACACCTCATCCTCCTCCCTCCAGCCCCTCGAGTCCAGGTGAACCTGCCCGGCGCCCTGACCCTCATAGCCACGTCCCAACCACACATGAGGGACACGGGCTGGACCGATGTGGCAAGACTTCCAGGCAGGAGGGCAGGGTGAGGAGCGACAGACCCCGCCAGACGCTCCGAGAGCCGGGCACGCCACTGACGGCCATGGACGTCCATCCAGACTGCTGGCAGCGCTCCACAGGCCCCCAGCCTGCTCATCCCGGGCCCGCCCAGGGCAGCACTGCACCCCCACCGAGGCTCAGCCTCCAGCCTCCAGGGCAGCTGAGGGAAACTGAGGCAAGGAAGGCCGGCTTCTGAGAGCAAGACTGATGCGGGTGCCAGTCCCAGCTGTACTCCTCACCTGCTGCGTGGCTTCAAACAAGTCACTCACCCTCTCGGGGTCCCCATGCTATTTTCTCCGCAAGGGGAACAGTAACTGCCTCACTAACTGGGAGATATAATTAACCAGAGGCCGGGGAGACCGCTTAGTGGGCCAGGGATGGGGGTGGAGAGGAAGGAGAAGGGAAGTGGGCAGGCCACCTCTCGTTTCCGAGAGAGAGCCCCGTTCCTCGGGCACCTCCCTCGCGCACACTGTCTGGCCATACACACGCAGAGAAGCCGTATGTGTATGGCATTGGCAAACAGAAATGCTGGAGAGGCCTTTCATGGTCTCCATGTTTCAAACAAGAGGACGGAGGCTCCTGAGGGGAGGGGACTTGCCCACGCCCCACGGCAGAGTCTGACTCAAAGCCGTTTCCTCTGACTTTGGTGCCCCCACCTCCGCTGGGCGACCCCACAGGCAGGAGGAAGGGCCGAGTCCCAGGCAGGGCAGGCTCACCCCACACCCGCCAGCCTCTGGGGGAGGGAAAGGGGACCCGCGGGGAAGGGAGGAGCCGGAAGGAGAGGGGTGAGAATGGGCGAGGGGTGTGGAGCACGATGGACAGCACGGAGAGCGGGAGGGCCTGTGGCCCCCGCTTCCCTACTCAGGGCCGAGAATCGGTTTGCCCTCTGCACGGGACCCACAGCCATTTCACCGTCTGCCCCCACGTCCTCCTGGGACGGCTGGCTCCATTGCTGTGTGGCCTCAGGCTGGCCACTTAACCTCTCTGGCCACTCCCCTGCCCAGGAAGGCCATAACTCCACCGGCTCCCACCCAGCCGCCCAGCCTTGGAGGAAGGAAAGGGGGGCAGGAGCGGGGCCGGGGGATGGGGGGGAGCTGGGGCGCCGGTCCCTGAGCCTCTGGCACACCGCCACCAGGGAGTCATTAGCAGCGTGGCTTCCAGCTTCTGCAGGGCCTCTCAGGAAGCAATTTAAGCTGCGAGAATTAGATCAAAGGAGCTGGAGGCAGGCGCCCAGACATCAGCTCCGGCAGCTCGGGTGCTCGGAGCCCAGCGGGCCCAGGCAGCCGGAGCGAGCTGGCCGGGGCCACACAGCCGGGCGGCTGGAGGAGGCGGCTGCTGGCGGCCCTCCAGGCACACAGCAGCCAGCGCTGCTGGGAAGGTTTGCTCCTGGGGAGGACGGAGCGAGTGGGGCGGTGGGGGAGGGGAGGGGCGGGGAGGGGAATACTCAGCTGGGCCGGGCCTGGGAGAACCTGGGCCGGCCTGGCTGCTGAGTCTGACCTAGTGCAGCCACCTCTCCGGGCTCAGCCCCGCCAGCCAGGCTGACCCTGGCCTACTTACGCCGGCTCGTCTGGCCCGGCCTCTGCACAGGCAGCGCCTCGGGCTGACTGCCCTCCTGCACCGCACTCTGCATTTGCCCCAGGGTCATGTCCTCCTCCATCCACAGAGTCAATAAGTCAATACCCCGGGGGTCACAGGGCCACCCGCCCCTGAACTTCGCCCTCTCCCACAGTTCCAGCCAGAAGCACCGAGGCCACGGAGAAGCCAGAGGCAGGAAAGCCAGGCCTCCCGGCCGGAGCTGCTGGGCCACGGCACTGCCTGCCTTCTGTGTGAGCCAGGCCCCAGCAGGCTGCTTCCCCACGGCCCTTCCTCCCGCCGGCCCTCACCCCCCGCCCCGGCACTCTCCCCCACCCTCCGCCAGGCCCCACCTCCGTCCAGGGGTGCGAGCTCCTTCCAGCCCTCAGCGCTGTTCACTCAGGGCCTCTGCACACACAGCTCCTGCCACACGGGCGTGCCCGGAGGACCCACCGCCTGAGAGACTCAGCCTCGTACCCCCGCCCCCTCTACTCCTGCCTCCGACACTCTCCTCCCTCCGCCATCCTGGAACCCCCGAGACAGGCTCCTTAGGTGGTACCCCATGTTCGTACGGCTCGTCCATCTCCCCAGCCCAGCTTGTGCACCTGCAGGGCAGGGGCCCTGCCCAGCTGCTGCCTGTATCCCAGGGCCCACCATCGCGGGCACATTTAGCAAGGGCACACTGAATGAACCAGCACAGGTGACACAGAGCAATTCCTTCACTGATGGGGGGATCAGCTTTCCATGTCAGAGCAGCACCAGCTCTCAGTCTCCCGAAGCCAGGGCCCTCTCTCTCTCCTCCCCTGCCCTCCTGGTGGCTGTGCTCAGCGGCAGCCCAGCCTCTCTCTGTCCCTGACGGAGCCTGGGTGTCAGTTCCCAGGGTCCCTATAGCTGTGGGATCCTGGGCAGGCCATGTGGCCTCGCCGCCGGCACGTCCCGGTCTGGAAGGAAGAGATATCGTGCCGGGGCCCTGGAGGGGCACACGAGACGCGGACGCAGCAACACAGAGCAGCGCGTGGTGCACGGGAATGCACGGAGCCCGGAGACGCAGTGTCCGTGTCCGTGTCCGTGTCCGTGTCCGGGGCATCTACAACTTTTCCAGACTCCGGGCAGGAGGTTACCATTCAGGGTTTCGGTCGCCGACGAACTTCATGAATACAAGCACACAAGGAAACGTGTGTCGTGTCAGAGGTTCCAGCTGGAGGGACACTGAGGCCGGGCTCCCGGGGTCAGATGTGCTTCAGGAGAAAACAACCCAAGAGAAGGCTCGTGGCCCGGCCGGCGTGGCTCCCTGGCTGGACATCGGCCTGTGAGCCAGGAGGTCACAGTTCAATTCCAGGTCGGGCACAGGCCCAGGTTGCAGGCTCGATCCTCAGTGTGGGGCGTGCAGGAGGCTGGAGCCAATCAATGATTCTCTCTCATCATTGGTGTTTCCATCTCTTTCTCCCTCTTCCCCCCTCTCTGAAATCAATAAAAATATATGAGAGAGAGAGAGAAGGAGAGAAATTGAGAGAGAGAGAGAGAGGAGAGAGGAGAGAGGAGGCTCACACAGGAATGTGCAAAGCCATTCAGACCCAGCGAGCACAGTGGGGCCCTGGGACTGAGCACGGGGAACTGAGCTGGGTCAGAAGGAGGCAGCTCGGAGAACCCAGTCTTCCAGC